GTGGACATCAGGAAATCATCAACGAGGATGTTGTTGTCAGGACAACAGTCATCATGTACATCAGGAAATCATCAACGAGGATGTTGTTGTCAGGACAACTGTCATCATGTACATCAGGAAATCATCAACGAGGAATGTTGTTGTCAGAAAAACAGTCATCATGGACATCAGCAAATCATCAAAATTATTGTAAGCACAACTGTTGTCAAGTATCCAGGACAAAAGCTACCTACATTGTAATGCAATCTCATACTAGCCCTGGTATATCAGTACCAGGTATTTCTTTAATTGGTTAAGTACCAGTTCTGTCACTACCTATATATATTTGCTACAACAGCAATTCTTTATAGTTCATGGAACCCGCATTAAACTAACCTTCACATGGTCACCTGTAACACCTCCAATCCTAGATATCATACAACATGCGTTAAAACAACTCAGAATTGAGCTAAACCTACCCAAACATCTATATTACTGAGGTACAGAGGTGGGGATCAGTGCTAACATTTTTAGCTAACTTACAAACACTTCCCACATCCTTCTCCACACCACTTTACTCTGAATATGCTCGTTTGTTGTGGTATTAAAACACGGTTGACTAGACAGTATGATTGCTGTGACTAGTAGTGTAGGAGATAGAGCCCGGACAAACTTGTTCTTTGATGCAGGTCAAAGGTCAAAATGTATGTCAGAGTGACCTACTTTTAATACACGACACACCGCCTCACCAAGGTGAACCCATACCCCAAGTATGAAGTTCCAGTGACTAGTAGTGTAGGAGATAGAGCCTGGACAAACTTTTTCTTTGATGTAGGTCAAAGGTCAAAACGTAGGTCAGAGTGACCTACTTTTGATACGTGACACACCACCTCATCAAGGGGAACACATACCCCAAGTATGAAGTTCCAGTGACTAGTAGTGTAGGAGATAGAGCCTGGACAAACTTTTTCTTTGATGTAGGTCAAAGGTCAAAACATAGGTCAGAGTGACCTACTTGTGATACGTGACACACCACCTCATCTAGGGTGAACCCATAACCCAAGTATGAAGTTCCAGTGACTAGTAGTGTAGGAGATAGAGCCCGGACAATCTTTTTCTTTGATGGACAAACTTTTTCTTTGATGTAAGTCAAAGGTCAAAACGTAGGTCAGAGTGACTGACTTTTGATACATGACACACCGCCTCACCAAGGTGAACCCATACCCCCAGTATGAAGTTCCAGTGACAAGTAGTGTAGGAGATAGAGCCTGGACAAGATAGCGGAAGGAGGGACGGAAGGATGGAAGGATGGAAGGATGGACGGACAGACACGACGCAAAACTATAGGCCCCCCCGGTTCCCAGTGGGGGACTAATTAGTGTCATCAAATGGCATGGAAAAAATACACAACGTGGCTTGATCATGTTTGACTCACCTATAACATTCCCGAGAGATGACATGTAACTTGGCTTGAATCTACAACACAGAGACAAAAAAACCGATAAGGAAACGTTTGCCACAGTTTAACTTTTGAAATTCGTCAAACATCAGTACAATGTTTAACATAATGCTTAAAACAATACTTGACAGAAGTATCAGTGAAATGCCTGACATAAGTGTC